ATCAGGCTATCACCTGGCTCAAAGCCTCAAATGTCTGGTTACCGGGGTTTGGCCAGACCTTTTCCTGAGGTACCTTGTTAGAATAAACTCAGTTAAGATCTCAGGAATCCACCAACAAACAAAGGGAAAATACAGAGATTTAGGGCTTATCCTCAGGAACTAGGGGTGAGAAAAACCAAGCCAAAAAAAAAGTTTTTTAATACAACAGCTAAGGAAAAGGATGATTAAAAACCACTAAACTGGCCCTCCCTGGTGGCGCAGCGGGTTAAAGCACAGCACTGAGAATCTAAAGCCGCTTCCGTATGAGTTCGATTCCCGCCTGCCCCGGAGGTGACCACATGGCGTGGCAGACCTCTCCTGACCCGCCCACTGCTCCCCTCAGCAGTGTACTTCCTCGATCTGCCTGTTCTGTTCCCCACTGTCTCTGGTGAAGCCTCTCACCGCCCCTGAGCCTCTGGCCTGTACCCCAGTTCTGTATGTACAAATAAATAAATCTTTAAAAAAAAAAAAAAAAAAAAACCACTAAACCAACCTATCGAAATGAACATCATCATCACATCAGATTTTTCACATATCAGCCAACAAACACATTTATATTAGGATTAAAGGGCACCATGTTAAAACAAACAAATAAATAAAAACCTATAAAGAAATCTAGTGGCCAAATCTATCAACATTAACCAAATTTATGTAAGTATGTCTATTATATTTTAGGAATTTACTACTCTCCTAAATATGTATGAAGAAAGTTATATATGTTAGTTTTAGATTAGATCATGAATTTAAAATAGTACATTTATATTTAGCATCTGAATATAAGATAACTTCTAAAATGACAAAGATTATATGAAAGAAACAGAATTTTAAACCCAAACCTACTGACTACTTGTACGATCCTGTCATGATTTGAAAATAAAGAAAAATCAGGTTCCTACAGTAAGGTAATTATTTCTTTCAAAGTCTTTCATTTTAAACCATACCAGAAATACTATCATTTCTCACAAAAATATATTCTAGTACTTACAACTCTTAATTCCCTAATCTAAAATACATATGACTTGCCTGGTTTGTTTAAGGTGAAGGAAGAAATCAGGCCTCTGAAGAGTAATGTGACTTGTATTTGACCACCTTCACTGCCACTCTCTTACCCTACCTCTGCCCTACATCACAGCAACCCCTGCAGTACTCCTGCAGATGCCAGGGGCCCCACAAGTTCTCATAAACTAAAATTCATGTATTGTCCATTATTTTTACTAAGAACATATTGTATGTAGAAATTTAAAACACTTCTCAAACTTAAGAGAATCGTTCCATAAATTCACATATCATATGTGAAGCACACACACATTTATGTCCTGTGTGAAAGGTCCTAATTTCATTCTCCAAACATGCTTCTTCATCTGGAAAATACATTCTTTCTTATGCCAAATAATCTCTTAATCAATCACAGCTTTTAAGGAAGCCATTTTAAAAATCAAAGCAAAACATTTTTCCTAGAAAGAATTCCAAAATATGCTTTATTATAAGCCCATATAAATTATAAAGGTAAATTTTCAATACTATGAGATAGCTAAAGCATGAACTTCTACATACTGAGGAAATGGAGCATTCTAAGCAAAGCCTACAGAAAATGAACTTCAGAAAAGCATTTAGAAGTATTTCCAAATCATACTGTAATGAAGTGTTAGTGTTTCCACTGTAGAAAACAGAATGTCTGTTTGATTTCCTATCATTGAAGGTATTTTTTAATTACATTAGTTATGTCCTAGCTCAATTTAAGAATAATGTAAATAGGCAGAGTCTTCCAACCACTGATGGAAGGTTAAAGGATTCTTCTGTTGCAAAAGAATGGAATAGATAAATAGACAAAAATAATGAAAATTACCATTTTTAATTTGAGCAAGAATTTAAATAATTATTGTCAAAGATAATAAACAGTAATTTCGTGAGTGGTAAATTTGTGTTGCTGAACACCATTTCTTTCTCATTTGGTTGTTGGGGAAATTTTTCTAAGGAAAACATTATCACTTTTTACTTGAAAATTGTCTTTCTTCAGCCTATTTAGAAATAATTAAAAACATCGTTTAGGGAAATCTTGTCATTTTTAACTTGACAAAGTATAAACATAGGTAAATTCATAAAAATAAACATGTCTTTGAACTACAGTCAAACATGTTTAAAGTATTACTTAGGTTTTAAATTTCCCTGTGAGTTAAACGTCTGTCCATTCTGCAAATGAACTGAGTGTTTAATGAGATTACTGAGAAAATGAAGATGAAAATGAAGGGAGGTGGCAGAATTGGCCCATGCCCTTGCTTTAGGAAGAGAACTTGCTTTAGGAAGACACCAGGCATACACTTGTGTGTAAATCAGAAGCCAAACTCGTGGAGCTTGTTATTTTTGAGGAAGAGAGATATTAAGAATATTTGCTTACAAACATTGCTGTGTGCTCTGAAAAGCAAACAAAGGATATTAAAGGAAATATTAATGTGTCTCAATTTAGATGGGAAAAAGGAAGGCTTCTCCAACATTACAACAGAATAAATGATAGATACTGTTAGAGGTGTCAGTTTGTCCCAGTGAGAATATGGAATAGGAACATTCCAGACTGAGAAAGTTACAGAGGGGAGGATGCCAAGAATGAAAGTGTTTGGTGATTTTCAGGAGTCAATGTGACTAAAACATGGTGATGTGTGGAAGGTGTTACATAGTGAGGGGAGAGACAGAGAAGCCAGGGTCATTCATGCAGGGTTTGTGACTATCAAGAATTTTGTATTATATCTTCAGTGGGAGTAAAAGAGATTTATAGGAAGTCACATGATTATATTTGTGTCTTTTACACACTACTTTGACTGCTATGTAGAGAATGGATTAGAAGAACACAAGAAAGGAAATGAGCAGATTAATTAGAAAGTTACCTAGAAAGCTATGGAATAAAATGGTAAATGGAGTAGGGTGGTGATGTAAAGCTGGAGAAAAGTGGGTAGATGGAAGACATCCTGTACATAGTATTGATAGGCAACCAGTAATGGAGTGATTTCAGGAGAGGGTCAGGAAACAAATATCAAGAATAATCTACTTTTTGAATTCTGCAGCTGGCTGATTGATGATAGTATCATTTAATAACATGGAGAACCTTGAAAAACGAGCATATCAAATGGATCCAAGAGGTGCCAGCACCCCTCTTCCCATTGCAATGTGTTTAGCTCCAACACAAAAGTTGTCAGAACTGATGAGTAGAGTTCATAAGCACATACCAACTGTGGCCATAATATGTACAGCACACAACAAAGACAGGAAGGGATCAGCAGCAGCTAGGAATGGATAGATAAGCTGTGCAGGGAGGCTGGGGTCAAACTGTGAGGGTCTTGTATGCCCTACAAAGAAGTCTGAACAGTTACTCAAGTAGTGACCAACCATTGGCAACCTGTTTCCCTTCTGTGTTCAGGTGCTTCATGCACTTACTTCACCTCCAGTTGTTATTTAGGCTAATAAATACAGCTCATCTACTTTTTCTATGTCCCTTTGTAGCATATTTACACAATTCAGTGCATTTAGCAGCTTGATACTGTAGTTCTCTGTGAAAATTGATCTTTGGCATGAAGAAAAGTCATGACTCATTCACAGGAAGCCTGTTTGGGTGGAACTTTTGAAGATTATAAAGCAATTGAAAAAAACAGAGAAAAATAAAATATCATTCATGAAAAAAAAATACATGTCATAACTGACGCCAAGATTGTTCTTTTTATAAAAGGCATGTTTCATCTTTTATGCCCATGCAATTTTCCTTGATGCATCGGGATGATAATGGACTATCTCAAGTGGAGATGAACAAACACAGCTATACAAAGTGATCACAGATGTCCTCCAAAATAATCTAAACCTCATGTAGATTTATTTTTGGAGTCATAGACCCAGTCAGAACCAACTGAACAGACTATTATGACATTTGATTATGTATCTTACAAGTCTGTGTGTGGGTATGGTAAGTAAATTTGAAACTACCTTCAGGTGCCTTTGGGTGGGTGTGGAGTGGTCACACACATCTGAAGGGTGTGATCTGTACCTCTAAATCATGGACAGTGGTATAAACCAGAGTTACCTCAATCAATCAATCAATCAATCAATCAATCAATAAATAAATAAATAAATAAAACAAATGGAAAAGGGAAATAAACCAGAGAAACCTCACTCTGTTGTAATCAGCCTTTTCATGGCTGTCAGGATATTCTTTCATATATCATGAAACCATATTTATACTTTCATTTAAAAATTAAAGAATTTTAAAAATAAATGAAAATAAACTGAACTCATTTTATGCGTAAAAGCTTGGCTTCAGATCAACTAAGTTCCCAGAATAATTTTTGTTCTCTCAGTATCTTCTACTTTCTCTGTAATCAGGGCTAGACTTTAAAGAAGATTGCACCATAAAATTTTAAGACATTATTCAATGGAAAGATAGGCTTCACAGAGGCAGGGAACATGGTATTTCACTGGCCCACAGACAGGGACTAGAAAAAATGAGGTGACTCGGAGCAAAGTGGGCATTGGGGAAAATAAAATACTGTCAGTGGGATTAGTGAACTCAGAATGTGTTTTGTCCCTCTAACAAATATTGATTTTCTTCATGTGGAGTGCTGAGTGTTGCTTATAACAAGGGTTTTTCATTTAATTTGTGGAAATCATGAGCAATTAAAGAACTGAGGGCTTGGGCAGGTTGTGAAAAATTCAGGCTCTGTCAAATTCCTCATAAGTCACTAGTCCTGTCCAACCACCTCCTCAGAACAAAAGCATGGACATAAAGACTGGTGGAATCCCAGTAGGCTTCATGACTTCAAGATATCCTCAGATCTCACTTTCATTTTACCATATGATGAAGTAAGCAGAGAATTTAAACAAATATATTTATAGTACTTATTTAAATGTATTTTAAAATTGCAGTGAAAAATAGGATCACGATAAATCTTCCCACATTCTCATTACCATCTGCTTGGCTTTAGGAGCACGGCATTCCAACCGACATGGGCTATGCAGTGGCACCTCATCACTCGGGTGTGTACCCTGTACATGTTCAACTTTATGAGGCCTGGAAGAAGGTTTGGAATATTCGGATCACCAGCACTGAAGAGTACCCACATCTGAAACCAGCTAGATACCGGAGGGGCTTCATCCACAAAAACATCATGGTAAGCTTTCTGCAGCGTCTGCAGTATGGGTGGGACATTGCCCCACCATGTTGACAGTCCTCACTTGAGAAAGAACAAAAGAGAAGAGCCAAGTGCTAAAAACTTAAAGCTCCATGCTGCAGGAAGTATGTCTGTCGTAGCTACACAAAAGATGTTTTGATTTTCAAGTCACTTCTTTTCAATTTCTTGAATGTAATATATATATATATATATATATATATATTCTTTTTTTTTTAATTACGCTATCTACTGTAGGGAGGCACTGGTATTTAGGTTGCAGATGATTTATAGAAGCCCTAATTTCTTCAAAAATGTTACTTAATAAAAATAAACTTTTTAATAAAAAAATAAATAAAAAAAAAAGTTACTTAATATATAAAACTAACATCAACTCTCTATATATTAACCATGCTGCTCTCTTATAAGTCAAAATGTTTTACTTTACCATGCCAGACTAATCATTTAATCATTACCAGCCACATTGTCCAATCTCTCCAAAGCTTCTCTGTGTGCATGTGTTGCTTTTCACACTGGTGACCAAGGGCATGTTGTCAAAATATGTTTTCACATAATACTTGATGAGATTTCCAAGAATAAGTAATTAAATACTTTTTGGGTACTAACGAATGACTAATAATACAGGTTCTTTTACTTCCCCCATTGCCAGTCCAAGTTTGCATGGGTTTCTGCAAGTGCTCTCCATTCTATTCATTGTCTTTATTTTGGTATTGTCTCTATGTCGGTTTTGTTCCATTTTCATACAGTTTTGGTTAGTATAGATGTGTAGTATAGTTTGAAATCAGGGAACATGATACCTCCATTTTTCTTTTCTCTCTGGATTGTTTTGGCTATTTGGGGTCTTTTGTGATCCCATACATATTTTAGAATTGTTCTATTTCCTTGAAAAATATCACTGGGGTTTTGATAGTATTACATTGCATCTGTAAACTGCTTTAGGTAATACTGCCATTTTAGCAATATTTAATCTTCCAGTCCATGGACACAGAACATCTTTCCATTTTTTACGTCTTCTTTTATTTCTTTTAGCAGTGTCTTCTAGTTTTCAAAGTCCTTCATTCTTTTAAGTTTATTCACACATATTGCATCCTTTTTGATATAACTAGAAATGGGACTATTTTCTTAATTTCTTCTAATTTACTGTTTGTATATAAAAATAACAGATTTTGTGTTTGATTTTGTATCTTTCTACTCTATTATTTCTAATAGTTTTGGGGTAGAGTTTTTGGATTTTCTATATATTTTATCATGTCATCTGCAAATAGTGATGTTTTCACTTATTTTTTCCCAGTTAAGTTTCTTTTTTACTCTCTCTCACTTAATTGTTCTAGCTCAGCACTGTGTTGAACAATAGTGATAAGAACAGAAATCAATGTCTAGTTCCTAATATTAGAGGAAATGTATTTATTTTCTCAGCATTGAGAATAATGATAGTCTTTATTATGTTGAGATACATTTCTTTTATTCCTATTTTATTGAGTGCTCTTATCAAAAGTGGGCATCAAATTTTATGAAATAAAGCTGTAATCCCAAAATTACATAGCTCTGTAAACAAATGGCAAATTGGTAACACTTGAAAAAAATGAATACATACATACATAGAAACTAAATTTTTCCCTAAATCAGAAAAATTCAAAGCAAACTGGCAAATGTTTATGGCTCCCCAGATTGAGCCTCACACACTGGAAAGAGACATCAGGTAAATGAAAGGGAGAATAGTTCTCTGTCAAATTGTTTGTACATATATCACCCTCTAGAATCAGGAGTAACTAATTTCTTTTCAGATGGTTTTCAGTATCTGCAAAACTTGAAGAATGGATAATGATATTAACTTGGGTCAACCACTATTTTGATTTTGTCCTCAAAAAAAAAAAAAAACACTGTAAATGCTACAAGGAACAAAATGGCCATATTTTATTCCAGTCTGCCATTCCTTTTTACTGAAAATGAACTCACTGTCCCCAAGCTTCCAGCCTTTTGACTAGAGAGAGGTAAGAAGAACTGGGCTGTAATTATAACATACAAGCATTCAGTACCCTTGTGTCATTTTAAAATCATGTGCATTCTTTGTAGAACAGAATAAAAAAAAGTCTCTAAAGACTTTACTCAGTGTTGTTCTCATTTGTTTCTGTTTCTCTCTGTACTGCCAGGAAATTTAAGTCCCATAAGATATCTTCATTTTTCATTTCTCCTGTAATATGTTTTTACCTGCGTTGTAAATGCATGAATATTGCAGGTAATACAAGCTCTAGTGGATTTCTGTATTGATCTAACTTTCACCATGGTTCCACCTCTGCAACAATCCATGGAAAATGTTTTTATTTGCTTTATGGACCCTTAAAGAGAATTTCCAAGTGGGAGGTGTTCAGCAGGGAACTGACTATGCAATAAGAGAAAGGGAACAGGGCTTGGAGTCATCCAGCTTAAAGTTGAGACCACAAGAGCCAATATGCTTCCTAGGAACAGACTGCAATAGGAAAGAGCTGGGCATGAACACACCCACATTGTAGGTCACTCCCCATGACTGTTATCTGAGGTAGGGAAACTTTGTTTTTACAATCCATTGACAATTCAAAGCCAAAAAGCCTTTAAAAAAAAAAAACTCATTATCCTCAATTATCCTCATTATCTTCCCCTTAAGCAGCTACTGATCCTCTAGTTCTGTGCTTCAAACAACACACTGAACACCCCCCCCCCAATTTCAATCAGTCTCTGCATTTGCTTTGCCTTCCTTTTCCTACAACCTAAATTCACTACATTATTTTCATGTGTAAATTGTGGTAGTGGTCCCCACTTTGTCTCTCAATGGCTTTTCTCTCCTACAGCAGTGTAGCCTACAGATAGTGCCAACCTTTTCACCTTTCTAAAATGCCACCTTCATCTAGAACTGCCTAACCTTGATTACTTTCAGTTGTTTCCACACTCCTTAACATTCCCTTCAGGAACCTGAAAACAATCTGGCTTAAGTCTACCTTTTGTTTATTTCCATGTAGCTAAACAATCTGGCTTAAGTCTACCTTTTGTTTATTTCCATGTAGCTAAAACCGACTTATTTCAGCCAGAAGGTCTGTAACAGTAATGTGTTATCATACCTTTTTCTGCTTACTCCTCTTCCTCACTAGAAGGCCCCATAACTTAAATTAACTGAATGTAAAGCATGTCAGTGTCAAGCAGTTCAGTATCTACTCTTATCTTAATCTCCTCCAGGTTCCCATAACAAATCATCTTAGCACTCTGCTAAGAACATGCTACATTTCAAGGTGATTGAGCCCCAAACAGAGTCTGAGTCTCTAGTCCTATTACGTTATCTACTGGAGAGAGGCAGAGACTTCTAGGTAAGAATAGACCCTAATTATTAATTTACTGTTTTTAATACAGATACCCAATGATCAGGATTCCCCTTAATCCTACTGCAGCCTCCTCGATGTTCTTTACTGGTAGCCCCAGAAGAAGTTACTCTAGGTTTAGACCTTAGCTATAGGATATTGACCTCAGGACCCAATGACCAAGATTCTTGTTCACTGTGGCATTCATATCTCCCAGGTACTATCAGCAACTTTAATGTGTCCAGAGCTCACTCATATCTTAAAATTTAAATGTAATAGTATTATATACTCAGAATCAGTAATAAAAGGCAGTCCATAGCAGACCTAAAAGAGGGGGCACAGGACAATGATGAAGGGCCTTTCTCATCTTGACTATACCTCCATTGGCCATCCCAGAGCACCTGGTAGCTGTGAACATTGCAATGAGTGTGACCCGCCCCAGAGTTGCAAAGAAAAGCCCGGCACTTCATCTTCACTGTGTAATTTGAGAAATAGATAAAACTCATATTTCTTTTCCTGTCTCTCCTTTTTCATAGAATCAGCCAGGGAAGCAGGTCCCAAGGATAGCTCTGTATGCTTCCATAATTTTTCAAGCAAGATATACAAACTGAAACCTAAAAGTGATTCAGAATCATGCACTTTTAAAATATAAAACTAATCTAACATTTAACCACACATGAGCAACTCTTTTTAACTTTTGGGTTATTTCTTTTCACCCTTATCTACCTTAAATCTTTCAGAAGCTGGATAGTTTGTGAAGTAGTGATGCTATCTAAAATAAGTCAGAAATGAAAGAACATTAATGTGTTACTGGATTGTTTCATTCATTTGTGGACTATAAATAACTAAAGAAAACACAAAAACTTACAGATTAAAAAATGCAGTGGTTGGGCCCTCCCTGGTGGCGCAGTGGGTTAAAGCACAGCACTGAGAATCTAAAGCCACTTCTGCATGAGTTCGATTCCCGCCTGCCCCGGAGGTGACCACATGGCGTGGCAGACCTCTCCTGACCCGCCCGCTGCTCCCCTCAGCAGTGTACTTCGTCGATCTGCCTGTTCTGTTTCCCACTCTGTCTCTGGTGAAGCCTCTCACTGCCTCTAAATCTCTGGCCTGTACCCCAGTTCTGTATGCACAAATAAATAAATCTTAACAACAAAAAAAAAAATGCAGTGGTTGGAGGGAGAGTAGATAAGATAGGTCACATATTGACACTAGGGCTTTGGTGAAGCATGTTTGCATATGGAGGGGTGAGCTGTGATCCTCAAGTTATATAGTTATGTTAACAAATGGAAAATCATTAAATTTTGATTCTGAAAAATCTACCACTCAGAAAGGATATGTCCTTATGTTCTCCCACAGGGTTTGCAAGGAGTTTAAAATAAGTATTTATAAAAAAGTAAATAAATGCTATCTAAAGTTTTAAGAACCAACTAATGATATTTCCACAAATTTCTAGGGAATATGTTCAATTCTTTTATGATAACTGCACTTTTCTTTGTTATTGTTTTGTACATTACAAGAATGTATGTTTTTCAATGTAGACACCACCAGAGCTAACACTCTATAAATAAACTTAACTTGATTTAACTATTTCACCAAGTAGTTTTAAATATATAACTTTTTCCAATTTACCTATATATGTATAGACATTTATATATATATATATATATAAAGTTCTGATTTACAAAGCAATGTACAGTGTATTCACTGAGCCAAGAAGTGTTTTCTGTAAAAAATTTTCCAAGGCCTAGATTAAAATTTATTATAATATACATTCAACTGAAAGAAAAAGACCTAATATATTTGCAGAAGGCTTACAGGTAATATTTTGAAAACACTTAAAGAATCAAACGTACTTTAAGAATCAAACCATAAAAAAAAACGCTTGATTAGCTTGTGACAGTAAGCAGAAAACCCACCTGCATAATTCTGTAAAATCTGAAGCTCACAAAGTACATTCATTAATATTCTGCTACTTCAAATGTGCAGTGAGAAACACAGGCCATAATGAAGTCATGTAAGTTTGAGCTGAAGATTGTACCATCTTACACACTTCTAGTTCATACCTTCTTTCCTAGTGGCATTGACATTTTTATCAAGGAAGTTAAAAGAATTTTTAAAAAATCTCTTTATCACATCCCAAATACATAATTGAAGCAAATAATTATTTTCCTATACAAAAGATGAAAAGACGACCTTTTACTAAGTGATCTTTTGTAATTTTGTTGGTGACACTTCCTAAGAATTACTAACCAAATGCATAATATCATAATTACTTTTGGAACTGGCAGGCTTCAAACTTAGAATCTGGGACAATAACTGCAGCTGGCAGTAGTTCTCTCAGGTGAGAGCAGATAATATGATTTGTGTCTCAAATATTTGTTCTAATTTAAAATATCATTTGCTAAGAATCACATTGAGAACTGACTTCATTTTTTAATGCATGTGTAGAATTTGGCAGAAAGTATTATCCTTAAAATTTTTGTCTACTAGAATTACAATATAACATAAACAATTCCACTATTTTTAAAGTCCCTTTTTCCTTCCTTTTTGTTTTATTTCTTAAAGTGCTGGAATATGTTAGGTCTCATACTGGAAGTACTCACTTGGGAATTTAAAATAGATAAGGGGCTAAAATAATTCAGTCTGTCTTAGTTTCCTTCAATATTGTTGTCATTCTTGCTTTCCTAGAGTGTGAAGGCTTTTAAGAGTTCAATAATGACATCAGCTTGCACATCATCTTCCTGAGGAAAAAAAAAAACTACTTTTCTGCAAAATAATTAGTTGACAGCAACTGCTTCCTCACTGTCCTTTTTTCCTTCAGGTTCTTCCGAGACAAACCTGTGGGCTCTTCACTCACACCATTTTCTACAAAGAATATCCAGGAGGGCCTAAAGAGCTGGACAAAAGTATCCAAGGAGGTGAACTTTTCTTCACTGTGGTCTTAAACCCAGTAAGTACTTTGAATTATTCTCCAAATAAATACTGAAAAATGACAGTGCAGATTGAAATTGACCAGACAAAGAGGTCAGGGTTCAGGTGGTTATCAGCCAAACTGATAATGAAGTTCCAGCACTAAAACAGTAGTAAAAATTAATGAACGGGCCCTCCCTGGTGGCAAGGCGGGTTAAAGCACAGCACTGAGAATCTAAAGCCACTTCTGCATGAGTTCGATTCCCGCCTGCCCCGGAGGTGACCACATGGCGTGGCAGACCTCTCCTGACCTGCCCGCTGCTCCCCTCAGCAGTGTACTTCTGCCTGTTCTGTTCCCCACTCTGTCTCTGGTGAAGCCTCTCACCCTCCGCATCTCTGGCCTGTCCCCCAGTTCTGTTCTAAATTCAGTTCTAAATTAATAAATCTTTTTAAAAAATTTAAAAAAAATTAATGAACGACATCAAGAAAGGGGAGCAAATACAAGTAACAGGGCTATGAGGAATTGGGATAGACAGGCAAGTGCTCCAGCAGAGCCTAACCTGCACTGAAAAGTGATCCGAAATCCAAGCTTCTCACTTCTATGGAGATTAAGCTTTTTTCTACCCAACTCTCCCCCAACACCGGGGACTGGTTTTTTCATTAAATGGCAATGCTTCTATTACCCTTTTTAATTTCCTACTTAAAGAAAAAGTATAAGCAAAAGTGGGAGAGGAATAAAGTAAGCAAATGTGATCATTTGGGGTACATTTATATTAGATCTGTGGGTTCTCTGGGGGCAGGGTAGCCTATTTTACTGGGCTACTGTTCCTCCTCCACTTCATAATGCTTGTGTGCCAGGCTGCCTGAACCATTTGTACTTATTTCTGGTTGTGTAGAAAAAGAACATCAAATTGCAGTAAGAAGTATAAGGAAAATACAATCACTAACATAAAAAGTAAAGTTAGGCTTATTTAACAGGAGATATATGAGTTTGTCCCTGGTATTAGAGATATTCAAGATGGGGGGGGGGGAATGCAATTTTCCTAATGTGAAAAAAAAATCTATCAACATAAAACTTAGAAAAGATTGAACTAAAGAGAGTGAGTTTGAAAGGGCCCTCTCTTGACCTTAATTTGACAGGTCTGGCAAATAAAATTGCAGGTATTTATCATCATCTGCTTGCATTCTATAACTATATTTTCTCTAACTATTGCTATTTCCTAGAAAATGAGACAGAGGTAAAGATGACTTATCTTTGGGCAGAACCATCTGCTGCATCCAAAATTCAGGGTAGTTTTGAGTACCTAACATTTCACCTTTTAGAAGTTTACCAACTTTCCTTCCTCAAAGATTTTATATATATATATATATATATGTAGGTATGTGTATATATGTGTGTGTGTGTGTATGTATGTATTTCTGATTTTATACCAAAAAGAACTTCTATTCCTTACAAATAGAGGTATCTTTGACATCTTATATGACTTCCTTCTGTTTGTTTGCAATTCAACCAATAATCACAGTTAAAAAATTAAACCTATGCCTGATTATGAATGGAAGACTTAGTTAAAATATTCTTAATATTCTAATATTTTCACCAATAATTTTAAGACTCTTAACCTGTAATCTATAAAATTCTGATGCTTTCTATTTCCTTTAATCAAAGAGTAATAAGACTAAAAAAGATAATCATCTGTTTGATTCTTTTAACCAATAGTTGCTTTGGTGCTTAAGAAACTCCTAGTAGTACTGAAATTTCAGAACTTTGTAGGCCAAATTACTTTCATTTAACATTGAAGAATTTCTAAATTAGATCATTCATAAGATATAATATATATTTTACTAATTAAAAACCAAATATCTTCTTAATTAAAAAAAACTTATAAAGCTTTTCTTAAACTTACATACTAATTTGGACTAATTTAGCACCAAATTATCTACTAATTTGGACTAGTTGAACAAACTCTTTAAATACTTAGTCTATTTGCTACTTTTCAGGCCCTATTAATAATATTTGGTAGTTTTTTTGTACCCTGAAAGGCAATTCATGGAGAATAAAAAGAAGAATAAAACTTCTCCACAAAATGCATTCTTTCTTCACTTGGGAAACTTTCAATAGACAATTAATACTTTCAAATCAAACAGATTCAAGATAAATGACAGGGTTTACCACACATTATATGATAGACAAGTCCGAAGTACCGTCATCTGGAATACTGACCCCAGGCTTTAGAAACCACTGTAATTCTTTAGAGCTCTCTGGAAACCCAAGACCACCCCAATGGAAAGCTGCTATCATTAGTGTTGTTTCTCTTGCAGAATAAAGTATGGCAGGGTGGCCTGTTCCCATGAATTCTACATTCTGTTTTGTGCTAAAATTAAGAAATGTCCAGGTGCAATGAAGCATGCTAGTAATTTAGCGGACAACACTCTTTGTTAGGTAAGAGTAAGAATGAGGAAATCTTGATGGAATACAAGTTCATTTTAGCATCTGGAAATATGAGAATTGCAATTACAGTGACTCTGAAAGATAGCCACTGTAAGCTTAACCAATACCCAGGCCTCAATTAGAAGTATCATTGTCTGACAATGATGAATGAGGTTGGGTATTTACTACCAAAAGGTAGATGGGTCTTAAAAAATCATACCTATACATGTAAATCTACTCCAGATACACTTGAGTTGAATGTTAAAATATAAGCAGGAACTGAATTAATGTACTTTTAAATCTCTTCTTAAGTGTCAACATAACAGCAAAGCACTACAATAGCTTTTATCAGTATCAGGATGGGATGAAGGGTGGCGCACTCTAGGGTCAGAGTTAAACTAGAATAATCACAGCACTGATAACTGCTCCTTGAACAGAATAACTCTCTGGCCTTAAGTGTCACTGTCACCCAAGTATTTTTACTACTAGGGGAAGGAGTGCTAACCAAGTGAATTTAATGTGAATAGTTACAAAGTCAAACAGTGGCTTTGTCTAGGAGAGAGAAAACCTTAGCTGTCTTCAAATGAGTCCTTCCAGTATCACTGGCCTACACACCTGATGTGGGTTGTTGCAGAGATTTTTTTTTTCCTCAAATGTTACTAGTTTGTAAAAATGTCATTTACATAGCTATCTAATTTGGGGAGTCCAACTTTACACCGCCACATGTGCACATGCCACTCACCCTCCACCAAAACCCCAGTACCGTGACCGTGACCCTCACCTCTTCCTTCCACTGTCACTTTCTCCTTCTAGTGTCCTCCATTTTTCTTGTAATTGAGTCATGGAATCAGCTTAAATGCCCAAGAACAGCTAACTGGATAAAGATATTGTAGAATATATACTTACTGGAATACTATTCAGCTGTTTAAAAGAATGCAGAGGTGGCCCTCCCTGGTGGCACAGCGGGTTAAAGCACAGCACTGAGAAGTGAAAGCCACTTCTGCATGAGTTCGATTCCCGCCTGCCCTGGAGGAGATCCACATGGCGAGGCAGACCTCTCCTGACCCGCCCACTGCTCCCCTTAGCAGTGTACTTTGTCCATCTGCTTTTCTGCTCCCCACTCTGTCCCTGGTGAATCCTCTCACCCTCCGCATCTCTGGCCTGTACCCCAGGTCTATATTAATAAATAAATAAATCTTTAAAAAAATTAAAAAAAGAATGCAGAGGTTTTGATTAATAAATTTCAACCTCCAGTTGGAAGGTGGGCCCATCAGGGTCTTTGAGTCTGGAACCTTAAAGAATGTAATTCTAATTGTTTTCCAATTCTCAACTCAGTTGGCAACATCTTGATTATAGTCTACTTTCCCACATAAATTCTACTATAGGAAAACAATATGTTGATGATAAGAACTTATGGTGCTGGGGCAGTAATTTGTAAAATAAACTTTAAGTTTTCCCCTAACTGATGAGTATTTTCCATGCAACCTGATTTCCAGAAGAGGACCTACTAATTTGTATGGATTTCAGTATTTTGGTCCTTCTATAAATTGTAATTTCCCACTTTAAATTAATATATATCATTCTATTTTTATCTATCAGTTTCATGGTCTTTGCTTATTTGACTGTGATCCTAAGAAATGGGCACTTTCTATCAGAATATTAAATCAGGTTTTGGAGCCTGAAGTTCCTCAGGCTGAGGAACAGACCCTGATGTGCTTACTGACTAATTAAGGAGATCAGGGAGAGTTGCTTCAAGGATTTATCAGGGTTGAGAACCAACAAATTTATTCTAAAGTCACTGTTAGCTACAGACACATTAAAACTAAATTTCTATACAACATATAATACCCGAATACAAATATTCTTGATCAATTCACACTATCTTTATATATACTTTTAAAAATACTGGTTAAAATGGCCAGTTTGTTTATATACCTAATACAAAATAATACACTGAGGATAGATACTAAGAACTGAAATGTATGCAAGTAACAAGAACGATTGACAATAATACAATGTGCCCTCAGTAAACAGAACCTTATACAAGTCATGGCATTACTTGTAAAAAGGAATTCACAAGAATGTACTATCCATTTTGAGGATATAAATATATTTTTCCAAAGAAGACATACTGATGGCCAACAGACACATGAAAATATGTTCATCATATCTCATTTGATAAATGCAATCAAACAACCGCATGATATCACCTCACACCTGTGTGGCTGTTATCCAAAAGACAAAAGTGACAAATATGGAGACAATGCAGAAGCAAAGAAATCCTTATAAACTGTAAGTGGAAAAATAAATTGTTGCAGTCATTATAGAAAGCAGTATGAAGAATCCTCAAAAAAATTAAAAATATAAATCCCAAATAATCCATTTTCCCCATACCAGTATTTACCACAAAACACAAGGACCGTATTTTGAAGAGCAATATGTATGTCCATGTTTCTTACAGCACTGTTCACCATAGGCAAGAACGCAAAACAAACCCAAGCACCCACTGACTGACAAATGATTAAAAAGAGGTGGTGTATATATACACAATAGAATACTATGCAGCTATGAAAGGGTAAAATCCTGCCATTTGCAACAACATGGATAGATCT